TGATAACAGTCTGGAGGTGCCCCTTTACGACTGTTGTCCTGAATCCTTATCAACCTGAGAACTGACCCTTACAATTTCAATTATCTGCCCACCCCTTCTAAGACTAGAGTACCTGTAAAAAAGTCAACGGTTCCATCACGTAAAGAAAAGGAAAAATCCAAATTCTCCTTGAAATGATTGGAGAGAAACCGATGCTTGAGGTTGGTCTTAAGAACGATAATGCTACTCTCTGGCATTTATATAATGCTTTACAGAACAGCCTTTTTATTGTATGTGTTACAGATAATAAACCTTTTCTACTGAACCTAGTATGATGCAAGAGTGTCAAGATACAAGCACTTCATTGCAGACTTAGCAAAATAAACATGAAGCCAGACCTGAACCACTAGACCTTCCTATCTGATAGTTTGGGAAGCCTATGGTTTGCCCAAATGAAATCTATAATGAAGGTGGGAGAATACTAAAGCAGGTTTCCTGGCCCAAGGTATGCAGGCAATCTTCTGTCACCACGGATAAGATATAATTCACTGACCGTCTTGTTAGAGTAATCAGGACACAACAATATGGAGCAATAGCATAAGACAACTTCACAGGGACCAAGGAAGGTCACCACACAAGGATTTTTTGTTCAACCTTGAAGGAATACACAGTGGTGACAACTGGTGGATATTAAATAGCTAATGCACAAAGAAAAGGGAGACAGATTGATCCTTAATGTGCTTGCTGTGGGAAAAAATGACACAGTAACAATGCTATGGGGGGTGGCTAGTTTAGAAGCATGACATATATTGTGAATGTTCACGCATCCAAGTTATCTCATCTCTGTTTTCAAGAGGCCTCCCTAGATAGACACTAAGGAGCACCCAAGCTGCTTCACAAACTGACAAAACTATTCTAGTACCAATAGTTTAAAATAGAGGACACTAGTTTAAAATAGAGGACACTTTACAGAATTGTAAACTTGGCTGCTATACAGTTTTCTCTCATTGCCTTTCCCCTTTTTTTTCCCTAAGAGATCAAAAACAGAGATGTTTCAAGGAAGAAAAAGAAGTGTTTCTTGGGGGTTTTTTACATCACTTTGGTTGATAAATAATTTGAAATGACAAAGAAAGAAAAAAGCCTTTGGCATCTAGGATACATTAAAACAGGGCTCCTTAATCTTTCTGTGCCATGCACCTTTTGAGAGTCTGGGAAAATCTACAGGCCCCTCCTCAGAAAAATACTATTGAAATGCATAAAATAACAAACACAGATGCTCTGTTATTAATTCATTAAATCAATAACAAGATATTACCCCTTTTTAGAGTATAATAATTTTAGATAGTGAGATTTATTGAAGTTTACTTCTGGGGGCATACAGACCATACGTTATTTTGGTACCTACATACATTATTGAATTAAAATCAAAATTTCAATTAGAGGTCAGGAAAAATAAAATTGTAATATCTTTCCCATCCAAGTTCAGGAGGACAGATCCCCTGAAAGAGTGAGAGATTAAGAGGTCTGAAGACCTCAGGTTAAGGACCTCTGCTTTAAAAGAAACAAAAACTTATTTATTTTTATACTTAAGTATTATACTTTATCACATTTATATTCCACCACAATCCAAGGACTCTTGGCAGTTTCCATGATATGAAAAATGATGTAAAATATCCATGCATCAGAAAATCATAAACTAATAAGTCATCTCAACAACCACTCAAACAAAATAAAGGCAAAGAATAAAAATTAGAATAAAAGAGGGTGTGCATCACGAACTCAGCTTGAATGCTCTCCAAAAGGAGCTCAGTTTTTAACATCCTTCAAAAAAGATCTTTAGAGTGGGCTGGGAGGGGGGCTACTCTGATCTCCCCTGGAAGACTATTCCAAAGCACCAGTGCTATCACTGAAAAGCAGCATCTATTCAGCTCTCTTCCCCTCCCAAAAGGAGCTTCTCCCTAGATGATCCGGTAGGTGAGGCTTGTTTAGGTTATATTATATATTTGTATAACACCCACATAAAAACACATAAGATATGAGATAAATACATACATGGCTTTGCGCTCGAGCCTGGGGCCCTGGACATCAATTAGACCCTGTCTCCTGCTTGTATGGATGATAGGTTAGATCAGTGTTTCTCAACTTTGGCAATTTTAAGATGTGTGGACTTCAACTCCCAGAATTCCCCAGCCAGCTTCTTCCCCAGAATGCTGGTTGGGGAATTCTGGGAGGTGAAGTCCACACATTTTAAAGTTGCCAAGGTTGAGAAACACTGGGTTAGATCATTCCTGGCTGCTGTGTGTTTTTATTTTTGTTTTACATTATGTATTTTGTGTTTTATTTGTTATACCGCAAGCCGCCTAGAGTCACGTAAAAGTGAGATGGGTGGCTATATAAATCAAGCAAATAAATAAATAATCGTGTGTGTGTGTGTATGTGTGAGAGAGAGAGAGAGAGAGAGAGAATTTGACTTATTTCATCAAGAGGTTTGGATTGTACTTCACAGCTAACATTTTGAGCATCTGATGAATTAGATTAAATTAGACTGAAATCATAACGCCTAAGAGAACTTTAGCGTTTAAGATGTGGAAAGACTGTCAATTTCAACTGACAGCAAGTGAATAAGAGAACTTGTCCTGAAGGCCTCTGCAAAGAACTTGGTTAATCTCACCTCTCTTCCTGCAACTGCTTTTTTCCTTTTCTTCCCCTGTCCATGTGTGTGTGTGTCTGTCTATTGAGCTAAAAGTTTTGTTTTGCATGAATATGAAACTGAAGGTTGGTTGCCGAATACGAGTAAATATATGATGGAACTAAAGAATGCATGAGAGTAAATGGAATGCTTAGCAAAGGGTTTAACGCTGAGTAGGGAGTAAGGTAAGGATGGGTGATGCTCCCTCAATTGTTTAACATATTTATGAACAAATACATAAGCAATTGTTGTGATGGTATTAGAGGTACGTTCTTTGGGAGTGTGGCTATATACATACTTTGGTACACAGATTATGCCAATGTTGAGTTGGACCATCTTAGTCATCTAAATTATAAATAAATACATTTTGGCTGAGAACCTGAATGATTTGCAGCAAATGTTAAATAGATTGTAGCATGTAACTATGAGCATAGATCTGAAAACTGATGTATCAGAAACCAAGGTGGTCGTGTTTGACAAGGAAAATGAAGTGAGCAATTATAAGTTATAAGGCAATGGCAAAAAACCTAAGTCAAGTCGATGAATTTGTGTATCTTAATACAATATTTACTAAAGCTGGCAAAATGGATGGAGAAATGTTAAGATGTGTACATGCTGGTAGAAAAGTAGCGGGAAGCATATAGTCTGTTGCATAGAATGAATGTTTGTTGAAAGAAAACAGCTATTTACAAGAGTGTGCTTCTGTCCCCATTTTTTATAGGAAAGTGAGAGCTGGCTGTACTGTGAGAAAAACTAAGTTGGATGCAGTAGGAATGGGGGACTTAAGAAGTCTTGTAAATCAAGAAGAAACAGAATCAGGAATGCTGAATGAATTCTGGGCCAAATATAAATGTAAGTGTGATGAGACAGTTTGGTTATATACAGAGAATGGAAAAGGACTGGATTATAACACAAATAAAGAAAGGAAAAATGAATGGATAGAGAGGACAGGAAGACCAAAATCATGGTTAAAAGGAGTTCCTAAGATCCTCAAAAACAGAGAAATCAGAACTTAAAAGTACACAAGAACATAGGGAGCAGTGTATGGATGTGGTTGGAAACAAGGATGGTTTGTAAGGATAGAAAGTTACAGAGAGGCAGAATGTTTGTATAAAGTAGATGCAGATATGTCCATTTTTCTTAAGTTGTACTTTAATTTCCTCAGCTTACTATTTGTTATTCCTTTTCTGTGCTTTGCAAAGATCTGCTCATCCAGAAAGAGAATACAGTAGTGTGATGGGTATAGACGTATGTCTGCATAAAAAACAAAGCAAGACAGAGTTGAAGAACACAGACTTTCTCGTGCGCAGGGCCAAAAACGAAGCAACGCTTTGATAAGAAGCTAAAAAAGAAGTACAAGAGGAGACTAGCAAAGGCGATGACAAAACAACTTGCATTGTCCTGGCTGCAAGTCTGTCAACTGACGGCGCAGCATCTGGTTGCGTGCAGATTTGGTACAGCTGCAGAAAAGAGCAAAGAAAACCGTAAGGGGGCTGCAGCATTCCCCCTGTCAGGACAGGATATAAGGGGTTTTTAGTTTAGCTAAAAGGGTCCCACTGCAAGTGAGCGGAGTTGCCGAGAACGATCGCAGGGCAGAGGGAAAGTCAGCGGAAAATGCTCAGGGTTAACGAATAAAGCCCGCTGGAAGTAGAGGGAGCGCAAATAAGGATTTGTACCGAAGGCGCTCGGTCCACAGGCTCCAGTCAGAACAGCTGGCTTGACACCAGCATTGGCGCATGGCATGGAGGATGCAAGGTTGGACGGCAGGCACCAGCCCGCTAGGAAGACTTTACACAGCCCCTGGCAGGCTGGGTCAAAATCCCCAGCGCTGAGGATGGGGCCGCCACATCTCATTTCTGGGCCTTCCCCGGGCTCTGGGTGCGTGTGTGTGTGTGTGTGTGTAGGAAAGCAGACCAGGGCAAGGGACCCTCCGCTCCTGGCTAGCCCCGCTTGGGACGAGGCTGCTGCTCGCTCTGGACAGTCGAGCCTCCACATCCAAGGGCAATCTACCAGGGAGCAACTGACAGCGCGTCAGGCAAGCCGAAGAAGTGCTGCTGCTGCTGCTGCTGCGGGCCCCAATGGGGGGGAGGCGGATCCTGGGGAGCCCCCGGGGGCAAGGCCAAAGATGGGGGGCTGTCAGCGCGCAGACCCCGCAGCGCCCCGGGTTCAAGCGTCAGCGAGGCGGAGGGGGGCGGGGGAGCCCTGAGGCAGCGGGCCCCCTTTCCGGGGATGCCGCGGAGGGCCGGGGCACCCCAAGAGGCCGCCCGGCGTCCCATTGGGCGG